GCGGGTGGGCTCTGCTCTGTGCTGTCCGCGCCGCCGTGACGCGCTGCTTGTTCTTGTCGCTGTCTGAGGATGAACGGTTTGCTCCTAAAAATGTAAAGGCTGACACCAGTCTCGAAGGTTTAGGAGCTGCTCTGCATCGTCATGCCTCTTACACCACGTAGTATGCCTGCTGGTGATTTACTGAATAAAAGATGTTATGTATGTATATACTTTTCTTTTTCTCTTCCTTTATAGGAGATATTTTAAGCCTACAGGTGTATTATCCTTGGGAGTTCCTTTCCAGCTCTCCTTGCAGAACAGTTGTTTTCCCTTTAATGACATCAGGAGTTACCTACTGGATGCTCAAGTGTTTGAAGCAGCTGGACATATGTTCGAGTTGCATCAACAGCTACACTCTTCTTGTCTCACCTCGCCTTCTCTTTACACTCTTTTCTTTCATACTCGACTATAGTGTTTACCGATTAGCCTCTTTCTGGGAAGCGGATCCGTGGAAAGCGCTGGTACTTCTTGCTGGATCATATGTCACTCTGGTGTTTTATACGAGAACGTTTACCAACACACTTGAAGGACTTCTCTTTGCTCTTCTCATGGTATTGGTTTCCTCAAGAAAGCCCAACGGCCGCTTAGCAGAGCCTACCAACAGCCCTCTCATAGGTGTTGTAACGACCGCTGGGTTTTTCAACAGGCCAACCTTTCTGGCATTTGCTCTAATGCCTCTGCTCTACTGGGCAGGTTCAATAGTTGACTCTCGGAAGAGAATTAAAAATGCGATAAACCACTTTTTGAAGCTTATCCTATGTGCGTGTTTTACTGCCATTGTTTTCATAACAGCTGACACCTTCTATTTTACCTCTGTGAGCTTAGACAACCTCTACAGTGTTAGAAACGGGAGCCTGCTTGATGTCATAGCTCAGTTACACGAGAGACTGGTAGTAACCCCCTTCAATTTTCTCAGCTATAATCTTAATCCTCATAATCTTGCACTGCATGGAAGTCACCCACGAGTTACACATTTTGCAGTTAATGGAATAATGCTCTTTGGGATTTTACATGTTCTGGCCATCGGTGCTGGTTTTAAAATGCTAAGGAAATATGTCTATCAGTTACTACGGGTCAAAACAAATTACCGTGTGCTGTTGGTGCATTCCAAGGGCAATCCAACATTACTGCTGTTTTATTTTGTTCCTTTGGCATTTCTCTCCCTGTTCAGTCACCAAGAGCCTCGGTTTCTCATTCCTCTCATCTTGCCATTAGTCCTGTTCAGTGCGTCCCAGGACAGAGCTGTGAAGTGGAAACACCTCATTGTTGTTTTCAATATTCTCGGGGCGTTTCTGTTTGGGTGCTTACACCAGGGAGGGCTCATACCATGTTTGTTCCACTTGGAACAACTCATCCATTCTCCAGCATCCTCAAACCATCCAAGGCACTATACTCTACTCTTTGCACACACCTACATGCCTCCGAGGTCTCTGCTTAATATCAAGAAGACAGACATGCATGTAGAAGTCATTGACATGGCCGGGGCTGGGGAAGAAACCCTCTGCCAGACAGTAGAGCAGCAAGCAAAGAATTTTACCTGCAGTGACTGCCACGTTTTTGTTATAATCCCTGGTACAGTCAGAGCCATGATTACAAAATGTGATGTCTCATTCAAGAATGAAACTTTGATATTTCCACACTTATCAATGGAAGACCCTCCTCAAATAGCCATCCTATCCCCTGGAAATTGGAGAAGTCAGTTAGGACTATACATCCTTGAGCTAGTCAGGGATCAGCAGAGCCTTTAGATTTTAGGAGAACAATCTTTTAGTTTTTCACTTTGCTTGGCCACTGTCTGAACGTGCTGGGGGACCTTCCTCTTCACAGAACCACCTTCCAGCACAAGCAGTGGCACTGGGAGCTTCCCCAAGTCTCGTTATTACCATTCTTCATCCTCTTGTGCTCACCAGTACAGCTTGTTCTGGATACAACCTCCTTAAAATTTGAATTATTCAGCTCTATGGTGTTTCATATGAACTTCTGTCATTTTCCTGATGAGAGGGGATGAAATCATAGCCCACCAAAATTGTTATTCAAGCTTAGCTGGTTCCATGTGAGATTTATTTTTTAAAGTTCGTATAATCTCTGACAGGGTTTGTGGACTGTGGGGTGTTTACTGATAATAGGCATTAACTCAGCTGCTGGAGAGAGAGGTTACAGGGCTACACAAAAGCCAGTCTGACTCAGTGAGGTTCTATTTTATGCTCTTAAAAATTCATTAGACCAAACTGCAGTCACTGTACAGGCCCCGTCATTGTTCCAGTGCCTTGGGTAGTTCTGCCCTGAAAAATCCCCAGCACTGATCTGTCAGAATCTGATTTAGAACATGGAAGATGCTTCAGCCTAAGTACTCGTGCTAAATCCTAAAATCCAAGCTTTGCCTGTTTACCCTCTCTTGCCACAGTTACATCCTTGCGGACGTGCCACTCACGTAGTGCACCCAGCAGCTTGAGAGGGCTGTGCTGTGATGGCATTAAGCCTGTCTGGTGTTCAGCTGCTGCAGCTGGGACAGTCCTTTCCCCTGCACATTCCTGCCGCGAGTCCTGCAGCTGTCACTGCTCTGTCACACCGGGCAGAGCGCACGGCAGGCCCTGCAGTGAGCTGAGCAAGGAGCTACGCAGACAGAAAATGGGTAACTCAGAGGGATTGCTGAACGGGCTTATTGCAGGGTCAGACATCCACCAGTTCTGCTTCTGGGGAGCATGTGAGGACCTGAGGGAGGAGCTGCATCCCCTGTGTCCCCTCCCCGTGCAGTAGCTGCTCCCCACTAAATCAGCTTAGTGAGAGAATAACAGATCACATCCCAGCTCTCCACTGGGGAGCAGTCTCATGTAACTGGGATACAACCAACCAGCCTCCTGCTGAGAGTGATGTAGATGCTTAACAGCACAGCACAACTAACAATCCTTGGTTTTGCCTATGTGAACTTCTGGATCCAGAACATGCTGACACGGAGGGAGGTACTAATTTGGCACATGCATTGTAGGTCAGGCCTCTCTATGAAACGAATCTAACACTGGTATTATTTCTGCTCACAAAGGTGGTAATGCTTTTGGCAGTTCTTCACCCACACAGCTTTACATAAGGTCTTACAAGGCAAATTTTCAGCAGAGACAAGAATATAGGTTGATGCCAGGCTCTAAAGGGAAGGTAGGAAAAATGCCTGTTTGCAGGATTTACCTGTATCTTCCAAGCTATAGGTGTTATCTAGGTTTTTAGAGAACATAGCTCTTGTTCTCTTGTATTTTGTGTTGTCTCCCCTGTATGTTCATCCCATATCCTTCATTCCTCCTTCATTCATTCTTCATGCCTGTAAGCTAAAGGTGTGTGTTTGGGGGGAGGTAGGGGGAGAGGGAGTGCATGTATATTTGCACTGGTTACTCACAAAGTAGTGGATGTAGTTATGAAAGTATTGTGACACCAAATGTATTTCCCAGGTTCATTTCCTTTTTCCTCTCTCACACTGTGGCAACAGCCACGTGCCACAGCTGGTGCTCCGTGTCTTGCTTCCCCATTCCAGCTTTCTTAAACAGATTAAATCTTGAAAATGATTTTCATAAAACTGTGGCAATCTGAGTGGGGTAGATCTTGAAGCTCTTCAGGGGTGCAGTTGAGCACCATTCCTGTGGCATGATGACTTCTCTGTGGCTGCACATGTAACTTGTGGCAGAGCTAGGAGAAGAACCTGGACTACAAATGCTAACTCAGACTGACAATATGCTGCTTTTGCCTCACCAGCCAGGCCTTTGGAACTTACACGAGTTTCTCCATCCATGCACACCAAAGTCTTTGTTGGCAGGAGGTTTCATTTTACCAGCAATGCTGGAAGCTGTGTCTCAGATAATGTACAAGGTTCTTCTCACCTGGAGTGACATGAAGAAGGAAAATGACCCTCCCCAGTTACCTAAGCCTCTAGTCAGCTGGACCAAATAGTGAAAAGTACTGTGACGGAAGGTTAACTGCCATCAGATGAGCATCTTAAGCCAGCCCAGCTCATCACATATGATGGATGTCTCCTTTTCCATATATATATTCAGGATGGCTCTATTGGTAATATTTTCCCCCTAAACCCTTCCTGCTACCATAGACTTGAGGTGTGCTTTTAGGATAGCCACTCTTACCTTCCCGTGAGACGGGCGTTATCCTATCCATCCTCACTGACACTTAAAGCCCTTTTTGTATCAAAACTGTATCAAATGTGGAGCATTACTGTTGTACAGGCACAAATTATTACAGGCACTCCGGTGAGAATCCCGGTTTTATTTCAAGTTTCGTTTCAAGCACTTCAAATGACACTCGTGACAGTACTCTGGATGGTGTTTGGCGTCAGTCCGCTTGTTACCGGCAACTGTGGAACGCGTAAACTGGCTTTGAAATGAGAGTTCATCGCAGCGACGAGCAGCACCTTCACCTCTTCACTCGTACCCGGCGCGGCCCACGCTCCATTCGCAGCCGTGTGTCCCTCAGAGTCGCTACCGGGCCCGGCCCCGCCGG